TACATTAACAGTTCTACTTTAACAGTTCTACATTAACAGTTCTACATTAACAGTTCTACATTAACAGTTCTACAATAACAGTTCTACAATAACAGTTCTACAATAACAGTTCTACAATAACAGTTCTACAATAACAGTTCTACAATAACAGTTCTACTTTAACAGTTCTACTTTAACAGTTCTACATTAACAGTTCTACATTAACAGTTCTACTTTAACAGTTCTACATTAACAGTTCTACAATAACAGTTCTACTTTAACAGTTCTACATTAGCAGTTCTACATTAGCAGTTCTACATTAACAGTTCTACATTAACAGTTCTACATTAACAGTTCTACAATAACAGTTCTACAATAACATCTAAAAAAGTTCAATCTGGTCCTCTGGACATTCAGAAAAACAAAAAACAAAACAAAGCAAAAAAAATATAGAAACGTTTCGTCTCTCATCCAAGAGACTTCCTCAGTCTGAGGTGCTGTTTTCAGCTCAGACAATTAATGATGGGTGTTGGACTGTGTGTTTTTTTGTTTATTAATGTTTTAGTCTGGTAACGTCGCTGCTCTGTTTGCGTTTCTCTTGTTTAAATGCAGGACGGGCGCTCGGAGCATGAAAGGCAGTACCTGTTCTGTCAGTCAGTGGACTCTTCGCAAAATTCTGAGCTGGTCAAAACTCCAAAGTGAGTGTTTAAAAAAAACTATGAACATTTGTTTGATACTTTGGCAGCATGTTTATGTCTCTACAGCTGTAAAGTATTATTGGTTGGGATGAACCTGTTCAGTAGTGACGACCGATTCGTCGGGCTGACATGTATATTTAGACACAATTTTTGTTGCTGCTCAAATTTCCTCCTCTCTTCTCAGGGAGTACTTGACCATGCTGATGCCCCCTCTCACGGAGGAGAAAGTGTAAGCATTCATCACTCTGTTGACAAAAGTTTCTGGATTTGAGAAGGTTGTTGAGATGCATTTCTTCACATGACTGTTCCACTGTGTGTCAGTGCCAAACCAGTCGGTCCAAGTAATGTGCTCTCCATGGCTCAGCTCCGCACCCTGCCGCTGGGAGATCAAGTCAAGACGCTGATGAAGAACGGTAAGCCACAACCGTCAAAGTCCGGCTCACGGTTCTCACATTTTTTGATAATAATGGGTAATAATCCACCACACTTTCAGACACCTGTCAGTTTTGTGTTTGCACTTGCATATTATGCAGATATGTATATTTTAACTAGAGAAATGGCATGCTTATTTCAGAAGAACTTTCTGAAAAACAGCTGAAATTAATTAATGTAGCTGAAATGTAAAAACAAACCTAAATTAGCAGAAGGAAGCAGGAAGAACACATATTTTCTGAATTAGGTTTAAATAAGCAGAAATTATCACAAAAATTGGGACATTAACTTAAAAAAAGCTGCAATTAGCACAAAAAAGCTGAAAAATAACTGAAAAGGCAAAAAGAAGTTTAAACTACCAGAAGGAAGCAGAAAGATCTGAAATGAGCTAAAAAAAAAAAAAGTGGAATTAGCCGAAAAGGCTAAAATTAGCATCAAAAGAGCTAAATAGTAGCTGAAAGTGTAGAAGAAGCTGAAACTAACAGAAAATAGCTGGAAGGAGCATAAGAAGCTGAAATTAGCATAAAGAAGTTAATTCGGCTGAAAGTAGCAGAAATTAACAGGAAAAACTTGAATTTATATGAAAACATCTGAAATTATCTAAAAATCTAGCTGAAAAGTTAAAACAAGCTTAAATTATCAGAAGAAAGCAGAAAGAACATTTTTGCCCAATCATGCTGAAAGAAGCAGAAATTAGCACAAAAAAGTGGAAATTATCTTAAAAAGCTGAAATTAGCAACAACAACAACAAAAAAAAAACTGTTGGAAAAGTAGCTAAAACATCAGAAAGAAGTTTAAGTAACCAGAAGGAAGTGGAGAGCGTTTTTTTTTTTTTTTTTTCTGAATTGGGATGAAAAAAGTTTGAATTATTGCAAAAAATCTGGAATTAGATGAAAAGTTAAAATTCACATAAACAGCTAAACAGTAGCTGTAATAGCAGAAAAAGCTGAAACTTACAGGAAAAAGCCATAAAGAGTGTAATAAGCTGAAATTAGTAGAAAGAAGATATAATAATAATAATAATACTTTATTTATAAAGCCCTTTAAAACAACCACAGCTGCAACAAAGTGCTGTACATATAAAATCAAGAACATTCAAACACATAAAACTGTTGTTAAAACATTAAGATCAATAAAAACGGTGCAGAGCAAATTCAGTCTGTGCTAAAAGCCAGTGAGTAAAAATGTGTTTTTCAAAAAGTTTTAAAAATGGACAGTGAAGGGGCTCGTCTGATGAGAAGAGGGAGATCGTTGTGTTTTAGTTCTGTTGTAGTTGGCAGAAAGAATCTAAAAAGGATCACAAAACAGCTGCAAAAACAGCTGAAAGTAGCTGAAAAAAAGGTTAAATTTGCACAAGGAAGTTGAAAGAAGCTGAACCAGAACAAAATGTGAAAGGAACAGTAAAAGGTTGTAAACACATGTAAATATTTGAAGGATGTAAAATGAGCTCTGTTCATTTTCTATGAGAGAAAAAAAATGGTAGAAAAGGCTAAATATTTCAAAAAGCTAAAGCTGCACCAATACCAAAGCAGGATTGTCCTGAACGAGCTGAACCTTGCGATTTATTATTTTGTTGAAATGGCACAAAAATTGTGGAACGAGAATCGCGCCAAAAAATGTACGGAAGAAAAATGGATCACAATCGTGTGAACGCTTCATAAACATTCACACTATTAACTTGTGTCGCAATTTGTCTCTGCAGTCAAGGTGATGCCGTTTGCCAACCTGATGGGTCTGCTGGCCTCTGGTATCGACCAGACCGCGGTGCTGCGCTGCATTCAGCAGGTGGCGCTGCTGGTTCAGGGAAACTGGGTTGTAAAGAGGTGAGGGACTCGTGTTACGATTGTAAAGAGGGTCTGCATCGCTCACGATCAGACTAGTTTCTAACAGACTGATGTTTTTGTCTCCAGCGATGTTCTGTATCCTAAGAACACTTGCAGCGCTCACAGCGGCGTCCCTGCTGAAGTCCTCTGCCGTGGCAGAGACTTTGTGGTGAGCTGTCCCTCGTTTTCATCTGTTGTTAAAGTGACTCTGGATAAAATCAGCGTCGGTGTCCGTTGTGTTGTTTATTTTACAGTCAGAGTAAATCAGTGTTCATTTTCCTTCAGATGTGGAGGTTCACACAGGAGCGCTCCGTGATGCGAAAAGAAATTACTTCCATCATCAAAGTGAGAAGCAGTTTGAAACTAAGCGATTTTCTAACACTTTTTTTATTTTAATGTGTTAAATTGCTTCTCAGGTGCCTCAAACACTTGTTTTGGCACGCCTCTGCAGCTTTCAGTTAATTCGGGTACTGCTTCCCTCTCGCTCCATTAGCTTCCTCCTGAGGATGTGAAGGAGTTCCTCGAACACGTGGCGGCTCCTCGGGTCAACCGTGGCTGGGAGTTCCTGCTGCCGACCGATGCGGACTTCGTCAAGAAGCACCCAGATATCGCCCACAGGCAGCAAATGCTGTGGCTTGGTATCCAAAGCAAGTAGGTTTCAAGACGAGTTTTATTTTACTGAGTATTTCAGTAGGACTTTCATAGTTTTACATGTTTTTCAAATACCTCGTGTATTGTAGAAAATTATAAATGTATATTTTTTCCTCAAAAGGTTGGAAAAGGTTTTTAATCTCTCAAAAGAAGATTTTGTGCCAAAGAATGCCCCACAACCAGGTAAATAGGAGTTTTGTTAATTATAACCTGCTAGTTTTTAATATTTCCTCCTTTTGAATCTAATCCGAGCGGTTTTCTGCGTTCTCTAGAGCCGGTCCACATCAGCGGGGAGCAGCGTCTGAGGATGGCTCAGGAGCGAGCACAAGAAAAGCAGACGTCGCTGCAGCGGGACCTGGATGTCAGGCGTGCAGGAAGCGGCGTCCAAATCAATCAACAGCCTGTAAGCAACAGGGAGGACGAGCCAGTGGACACCTCCTCTGTCCCCAACGGCTCTGTTAATGGTTACCCTGGTGCCGCCTCCCCAGGCTCGGATCTCGCTAACGGAGGGAGCCCCTCCAGCACGCTGTCCCTGGAGCTGCAGGACTTTGTGTTAAAGACTTTCCGGAAACATTTTGTGCTGACGCTGAACGAGCTAAAGCGGCTGTTCAACCTCCACCTAGCCTCCATGTCGGCGGGACAGAGCGTCCTTCGCTCCATGTCCGACCACGTGCTGCAGGACGCCGTGCTGCTCTGCCGCTGCAAACAGATCATGGTGCCTGTGAGTCATCCGTCATGGAAGTTCGCCTTTTAATTTACAACACGTGCTCCTCTTTTCCGATCCAGATTATTTTTAGCAACATTTTAAACGTAAAACTCTACACCCCGTTAAGGATACCAAACTTGGGGTGGGTGATATGGCTCAAACATAATATCGTGATATTTCAGAGCATTCTGGCGATAACGATACATTTTGTGATATAACACAAACAAATCATAGTTATTCATTTGACAAGATTAACTTGTTGCTTTGCAGTATTATATAAAAACTAAAAAAAACAAGGGTTACTGAAATTACTTTTATTTAGTAAAGTATTCCGTCTGAAAGTATAAAAATAAAAATGATCCTTCTGTTATTTAGATTGAGTAAGTCTGCACAACGATCAACAAAATCCACCACAAAACTTTTAAGTGCTGCAGTTTTCAAATAAACTAAATAAAATGAAAGCCTTTTATCTGTTGAGCATAAATGTACGCTACAATAACATGTTGCCTTTAATGAGCTGTGTAAATGCGCCGTTTGTACCGGCAGTTTTCGAGCTGGGGGGAGTGGGGGGTTTCAGCGTGAGGGACGAAGCAGCGTGAGGGACGCCCGTCAATCTGTTGCGGAAGCACGATCCGTAGTGTACTTCACCGGATCACTGTTGTTTATGAATAAACACTGTCTTAATTTACTTAGAAAAGTACGTGCTCTATCTGCACTGATCTTCACTTTATGCCACTTTGATTTCCGTCACAAATCATTGGTTAAGATGATCTGCGACGCATTAGACGTGACCCCCAGCCTGGGCTGAATGACAAAAACCCTGCAAGATGCAGAATGAAGTATTTCCATGGTGAAGCTGCACATCATTTTAACCATGACGCAGTGATTTTAACGGAAATACGAGCGGCGTACTTAAGCAACATGAAAATCGGCGGAGATAGAGCACATACTTTTATAAGTAAATTAAGACGGTTCTTATTCATAAACTGAATTATACCAGTACATTTTCCTTAATCTAGCATATTGAACGGTGATCTGCGCGACCCGGAATTATTCCTTTTAGCGCGTGCACAAATGAGCGACCCTATGGATCGGGTTCTGTAACAGATCGGGGAATGACAATGCCTTTAGCTTTTTAGCTAGCTAGTATTGCGCGCAGCTAGCTTAGCGTTACGCCAGTATCGACGGGGCGGTTCGGTAGTTGGGCGCACTCGGTTCTGTTAATGGGGCGGGGTGCCCCGCTTGTAAAATAATATGGGAAACACTGACGGAAACACTGACGTATTTACGCCATGAAATTAGCATATCATGATATAATTATTATTTTTTTTACCGGTATCATCGTGAACGATACGATACGACCCAGCCCCATATCAAACACCTCCTGAGTGACCAGTTTAGTTTGAGCTTGTTAGAAGCAGAGATATACAGAATAATTTGTCTGCTTTTTATTCAAGATCGTTTTTGAGAACGGAAACGAGTCGTGGACGAGCGAGAACAGACAAACGGACCTGCTGCTGCTGCAGGATGTGGAAACATCAAAGCCGCACAATCGGGCTGCAATTCTTATTTAACGTCGTACTAAGCAACAGGAAGAAACACGCCTGACTCACAAAAAAACCACTTCCTTTGTTCAGAAAACGCAGCAAAATAACGTAAATGATCAATAATATATGTAGATTATTAAATGTTGCATCAGTAGAGCTGGTATCAGCTTTATTTATAGAGCTCTTTAAACACCCACAGGACCAAAGTGCTGTACACATAATGAAACAATCCGGTAATAAAAAGTGATTAAAAGTCATCATCTCGGATGGTGTCAAAGGCCATGGAGAAGAGATGGTTTTAAGAAGGGATTTAAAATGAGACAGGGAAGAGGTGTCTGATGTTTACGGGAAGGCCGTTCCACAGTTTAGGAGCTGCCACAGCAAAAGCTCGGTCTCCTCTGAGCTTACGCTTCATCTTTGGCACACTCAGGAGCAGCTGATCACATGACCTGAGGGACCTGTGGTCACAAGGCGTGGATTACCGTTTCAAAATGTCTTGATCAGAAGTTTAGAAAACAGAACTGCGCATCATCAGATCCTTTTTATATATATATATTTTTCCTTTTTTGTTTCCTAAACTGTAAAATGTCAGACAAAGTTTCAAAGTTTGGTTTGCTGAAATGACTCCGACCTGAGCCGGGACTCTTTGGTCCTCTGGTTCACCCTCAGTTTGGCCTTCGAAGTGTTGAGATTACAACGTTCGGTCCTGGATTAAGATCCGTTTCCCGTCTGTTCTGCCTCTCTTTAAGCACCCCGTGCATCCTGAATAAGGGAATTTCTATCCAGCAGCTTAAATGCGAGTATCGGTTTTCCTGCACAGAATAACGACACTAACGGTCGTTTTTTTTTAAGAAGTTGGAGCACTAAAGCAACGCAGAGCTGGTTCTCAGGTTCCACTCAGGTTCCAGAGGCCACCTGATACCTTTTGTGTGTTTCTACTCTGCATTTGGGCAACGGCTGCTTGTTGGGTGCCATTAGTCCTCTGTATTACTTTCCTTGGGCTGTTTTTTCACACAGGAGAGCTGTTATGGTTTATTTCTGACCCACACCCCCCCCAGAACTAACTCAGTCTTGAGTCTTAAAGACTTTTGGAACCTGTAAGGGAGGGGATGGCCCAGCGCCATCTTTCTTATGCAACAGATTATTAGCTTTAAAGCTAAGCTCTTTACTGCGAGAGGTTAAGCTAGAAGGTTGTAAGCACGCACAGATCAGGGATCAGCTGAGTCTCCCTCCACCTCACTATAAACATCACTGTTTAGATGCCCGGCAGCTCAGAGATCTGTTCAGACAGTGGGTCATTTCTGAAAGGGGGGGGTGTCTGGCTGTCCAGACTGAGGATCAAGGCAACAGGAAGCTCGGATGTTTTGTAGAGAGCGCTTTAAATGTTGTGCGAGTCCAAACCTTGAAGGGCGCCGCCCCAAACATCAGTTCTGTATCAATGTAAAAATCAGGAACATCCACGTTTTGATGTTAAAAACTGCACAAGAAGAACTAAGATCAAAAGAAATGTTCAAGCTGCTGGAAGTGGCTCGTTATGGTCACCTTGGTAACCACACACCTGCGTCTCTCACTCCCTGACTGCCAATGAGCAGAAGACAAAAATTAAACCTCAAGCAGTCATTGTGCAAAAGTTGTTAGTTTACAAATACTTGATGCTGTAGTGGCGAGACGCACGAAAGGAGTCAAAAATCCACGTTTTGTTTTGTACTTGTCCCAGAAATCACGTGGCGTTCATACGTGTGAAGTCCAACTTTCTGCGACCCGTTCAATGTTTCTTCTGTGAGGTCCACTGCAGAGCTCCGAAGACGGCTTGTTTTCTTAAGTGTTTCTACAAAATTACCATTATTGTTATGATGTTTACAATTCATTTCAAAGTTTCACAATAAAATCCAGGGTAAACCTTTGAAAACTCTCAAATAAATAAGAATATGAACAGAGCAGGTAGACTCTTGTAACCGACGGCTTCTTGGTCAGAATTAATTGAGTTTTTGTTACTTTCAGTTTCCTGCTCAGAGCAAAGCAGCTCCAGATGAACAGAAGGTTTTCGGCTTGTGGGAGGCAGGAGACGACTTCGACAAGGTAAACTCTCTCCCCTCTCGGTGGGGAGGATTTTGTAGGAAGCAGTCGCCACAAATTACAAGTTAACTTCAGCAAACTGTGAATTTCACGTGAAAATCAGGCAGCACAGTGTTCAGAATAAAAGCATCAAACGTTCGAGGTGATCAACGGAACATCTCAGCTGCAAACATCTGTACAATAACCAAAACGTTATTAGTTTTTGGAGTTTGTTTTTCTCTAAGACAATGTGGATGTGTTAGTTGTTTTTCCTAAAAGGTCAAAATTACATTATCAGGAAATATTTTTTTTTTTGCATTTTTTTCCTAGGGATGCACAACATTATCGTCATTTTATCGGTATCGGTCGATATTAGCGATAAAGTTAAATATCGGACATCGACCGTTCCATTCAATCAAAATAACTCTCATCATGCGCGCCGTTGAGTTTAGATTTGTGAAAATGCTCAAATTTGCACTGTTCGAGTGTTGTCAGTGTGTTAGAGAGTAAATGTCATGAATAAATGTGACATTAAACATAATCCAAGTTGAAATGTTGCATTTGGTAACAGGCCAAACTGACAAAGAACATGCAGAAAAATGTATTTTAATCCCACAGCAGAGAAAGATATGTAGTCTCTGTAAGTAGGTTTAGGAGGAAAAAATATCTGTATCGGCATCGGTTATCAGCCAAATAAATTTTAACATCGGATATCGACCAAAAATCCAATATCTTGCATCCTTAATTTTTTCTTTTCCTGCAGCATCGTCAGCTGCTCTTCGACTTGTTCGGAAAGAACTACCGAGTTAGGAGGTCCATGATTCAAAGCAGACTGGCTCAGGAGCTCGGAGAACCAACGAAAGCCGAGCTGGATCGGCTGCTTCATGTAAGACTGGAGGCTGAAGCCCCCCCCCCCCTCTCTCTCCCCCCCCCAGTCCTTCTGTTTTCCATCGATCTGAACTGTTCTTTATCGTTTCAGGAGTGCTGCATCAGCTATGCGGGGATGTGGTACCTTAAGGGAACGTTGCAGTCCTGACCCCGACAACCTGCCTCCCTCCTCTTTCACTCACTGACTGACAATCAGATTTTCTCCCACATGTCGGAGGGGGAGGGCAGACGGGACATAAGAGCCGGTCACAGCAGCCGGTTCAAGTCTGAGAGCCGGTGATGGCAGGACAGACGTCGCCCGCTGCTGCTCAGAAGCTTTTCCGACTTTAAAACTGTAAATCGGAGAGAAAACAGGAACTCTGAAAGCTGGAGAGTCTGAAGAAACTGAACATAAAATGAAGAAAGAGTGAAAACACATTTACGGTTTATCATTTGAACATTTCATTGTACTCCTGATGGGTTCCCGTTTTTACTTTCATCCAACCTAAAGGCCTTGAAACAAGGAACATCAGTTTATTTAACTGTCTGATTTTGGTTTAAAATACTTGCTGCACACGGTGATGGGTTAAAAAACAAAGTGGGACAAATACCCAGTTTAGATTAGTTTTAAATGGTTTTTGGGAATGGAGGACCTGGAATCTTTTTCTCTTTCTGTTCATCAGACAGACATTTAGTGATTTATCAACTTTAACAGACTAATTTGTTTGAAGTGGTTGATGCTGCGGGTTTGTTCAAGCTGAACGCAGGTTTTTCTTGGAGCGACTGAAGTTTGGAACAGAACCAATAAAAATGCATTTTGGGATGAAATGTTTTCAGCTCCTAAATAATTAAAAACGGCAGCGCAGGAGCCAAAACTCTGAGCAAAAGGTCGTTTTCATGTTTAGCCTCCATTTAAAGTGTCGGCCTCACAAAATGTTCAAGAAAAAACAAAAAGCTCTGATTTTAGAATATTTAAGAATGAGGTGTGTAATTTATGCTGAATAAAGTAAATAGTTTCTGAAAGCAAGTAGCTCGGGGGCCAGACATCCAGCAATGAAAGTAATTATGTAAATAAACCAAGTTTTACAATGATCTGTTACCTTTTAAATTTATTACATTGCATTGAATCATTAATGCAATAAACAGAACCCAGAAACCCCCCCCCCCCCCCTTTATTTTTTATGAAGTGGGCCTGATTGAAATCATCTACTTGAATAGCCCTTTAATAGAGGTTCATGGTTTTGAGTAAATTTTAAGTCAAAATGGGACAAAAAGTAAATAGACTGAAAAAATACTCAAATATACCAAATATTGAAATAAAGCTTAAAGACTGAAAAAGTGGATTTAATGTAAAACTAAAGCAGAAGATGTTTAGGAGTGGATCAAGGTTGTAACAATCTGGTGTTTTAATAGAAGAAAAACTTTTTTTTTTAAAGTATCAATATCTACCATAAAATATGTATTTAAATTGGGATTTTATTTTAATAGGAAGCATGTAATGTTAGATTTTGAAGTTTTTCATCTCGTAAAACTGATCAAATATGAAAAATGTAAACATTTTGAGTAGGGGTGCCCCAATTTCCTTAATTTTCGTTGATGGGCCGATTCCAATTTTACCGATTTATTAATTTTTTTTAATAGTTTTAACAACAAATGTCTAAACTTTATTTATAATTCAGAGCACTAAGTCTTGGCCAGTTAAAACACGTTTGTATTGTTTCTAGGATGTTGTTCAAGGGTATATTTTTCCATAAAACAAGATTGGAAGATTGAAGGTGCATTGTGACCTTATAACTCCTGACAGTGTCGCTTATAAAACAAAATCTGAAGCGACAGGTCAGACTTTTTGTAAATCGGTGATCGGCCAGAAAACTGCAATCTGTGCACCCCTAATTTTGAGTTGTCTAATCGTCTTCTATAATTGACTTTTTCTCATGACCAGATCCAGCTCCTCTGCAAACCTTCACGTCTCAACTCGTCTTCTTTTTAAACCATTTCTTAAGGTTTTAGATGATTCTGTGTCATTTTCCAACAAATTTTGCCAACGTTCCTTTAATCCCAACAGAATTCCACGACGAACAAGCGTCGACTCGAAACAAATCCTCAAAGAAAGACAGAACTGCAGAGATGACTTGCTTCGTGTTTTATGGCTCAGCGCAGCAACGTTTCACAAACAAGATCATTCAGATCGATTTCTAGCAGACGAACAACAAGCGACGCTGATGACGCGTTTCTAAAGTGTGATGCAACAAACGAACATAGACGTGCACATTTTCAGCTCAACAAGGAGTCAGTGAACGCAGCACAAACGCTGCCGCGTCATCAATTACCTGGAGTCGTTCGTAACGTTCATTTCACAACCTTCAGTCACAGAGTGCTGAAATATCACAATACTCAAGTTTACTTTCACAAACACTATTTGCATTTAAATACTGGATCGATTGTTCCTACGGCCTAAAAATGAACTTTTTATCAATGCACAATAAATAAATTATAAATCAGATGCACTAGAATTATTATTTTCTATTAACTTTATTCTTTTAATGGATCATGGACCGTTTGTTTTTCCCTTTTCTTGTCCTTTCTGCATCATTTTCAGCGACAAACTGAGCACAACCTGCTCATTAAGTCAAAAGGTGAAGTTCTTTTTGAGACTGATTTAATCAAAAATGGCTCCAAATCAATTCAACCCAAGTTAATTAGATTATTTTTGTTATTTTTAAGCCTCTCCGTTTATGAAAACCGCTAAATATCTCATGAACCACTGGCGAGATTTTAACCAAGCTATCGCAAATTAATCACTGGATGTAATTCTACAGCTGATTATCTTATGGAGTCAACTTGATTCAAGATGGCCGCCACAGCAGAGCATCTTAATAAACACGCACAAAAAGCTATAACTGAATTTTACAGATGAGCTCAAACTTGGTGTGGTAGTAGCCGAGGGTCATCCTCAACACATTTCTCTGAGAACAGCAATTTTCTTCAAGTCTTGGCATTAACTTTTGGAGTCAACACGGTTTGTCTGTTAGCAAAATATCTCAATAACCACTAGATGAATTGTAATGAAACTCGCAGAAAGAGATAACTGGATGTTTATCTATAACGGATTGATTTTTGGAGTCAACCTGATACAAGATGGCCGCTACAGCTGATCCAACATATACAGAAACGGCTGTAGCTCGGTGAATTTTACAGATGTTGAGCTAAAACCTGGTGTGGTAGTAGCTGAGAGTCGTTAGCACTACATACTCTGAACTCCAGCTTCTGAGAGGAAGACGGATGATTTCCCTAAAAGGTTTCCTTGGTTCTGAGCGGAGCTGTGAGGTAGACTGCAGAGGCACTGGTGGATCTGTGCAAAACGAAACACATCTGTAACATCAGCTGGTTTTCTGTAGCCCCCTCTTTCTAAAAGAAGTCTTCCTGGAAATTTGTTCCAGGCGATAATAATTAATGTGAAGCAGCTCAGGGTCTCCCTCGGTTTTTATTCAGGTCTTCTTTAGTTTTCTGAATGCGCGAGAAGATTTTCCTGAAAAGTTCTTTATACTCCGGCTGGTGACGGCCGTCCTCCGAGTCCTCCTGAGCTGCAGCGACTCCTGAGGCCTCCAGAGGCTTGAGGCCCGGCCCGGCCACCTCCTCCCCCGGCTGGCAGCGCCGCAGCAGCTCCTCGTACTTCACCTGCAAGGCGCTGTACTGAGCGTCGACTTCGTTGAGCAGCGAGATGCCGCGGTACTTCACCACCTCGGCGCGGCGCACGCAGGAGCATTCGTGGTCGTAAAGCCCGTCGGGGGAGTCGGGCGCCTGCGCGGCCCTCATCAGCCGCTCGCTGGCCCAGCGCTTCAAGATGGCCGGGCTTCTGGCGGCGGCGGGCTCTCCTGCGCTCTCCTCCTCGGGGTTGAGGAGCAGCGAGTGCGGCAGCAGGCTGTGGATGAAGCCCGACCGGGTCGATCTGGAGGAAGACTCCGACTTCCAGAGCTGACGAAGCTCCTCGGCTTCATGTTCCAGCTCGGACACTCGAGCCTGACGGAAACGCAAGAATGAGAAGTTCAAATGGAGAGAAATAACAAAAACTGTCAGAGAGAGAATATAAATTAAAGGAACTCGGGGGGGACAAGGGGGGACGATGACGCTGCTGAAACTTGTCCTCTGACCTGGCACCACTCCATCCCGGCTAACTGTTGCTCCAGCGTTGCGTTTTCCATCGCCAGCAGCTCGGCTTCTCGTTCGGCCTCCTCGCGGCGAGCGCGCTCGGCGGCGAACTGAGTCTGCAGGGTGCGGAGCGACTGCTGCAGCGACGCCTGCTCCTCGTCGTGCCACGAAGCAGCGGAGGACTCGAGGTCATCGAAGCGTTCGTCGGGATCGCCGTCAGAGCTGCACAGAGGAGTCAAACGTTAAAAATCCACCTTGGATAAAACACAAACTCTTCACATTTTCTTTTATTTAGTTCATTTATTCTGCTTTAGTTGAAGTTTACGACGACTGTTAAAAGTTTGATTTTATTCACGTGGACTGTAACAGCGCAGTGATTTTCCCTGCTCCTGTTTCTAGATAGATCCACATTTAAAAAAGTTTACTGAAATTCTTTAAATGTATAACAACCGAAGAAAGCTCATTGGCTGACAGGAACCATGTGACACAGCTGAACATGTCTCAGGAAAGTCAGGCGATAATCATTTTAAGCTGTCAGCAAAATATCCTATAAGCCAGTCAGTCCTACAGACATAAAAACATGGATGATCATTCATTTTCTGCTTTTAAACGCAGACAAGACTGATGTTTTAGTTTTTGGACGTGAGCATCTTAGGAATTAATTCTTCAGTCGTCCACCCTCAGTTGGTATTAATCTGGCCTCCAGCTCTAATATTAAAAATCTTGGTGTTTTTGATCAGGACACGTCTTTTATCCCCCACATTAAAAACGTTACTAGAACCGCCTTCTTTCACCTGCGTAATATAATTTCCCTCTGGGATTAATAAAGTATTTTTGAATTGAATTGCATTTGTAATATCACTAACATTAGAAACATCTAAAAATGATGCAGAAAAAACTGGTCCATGCATTTGTCACGTCTACACTGGACTATTGCAATGGTTTATTATCTGGGTGTCCAAATACTTCTTTAAAACGTCTTCAGTTGATCCGAAATGCTGCTGCCAGAGTCTTAACTGGAGTTAGTAGGAGAGATCATATCTCTCCAGTTTTAGTTTCTCTCTATTGGCTCCCTGTCAAATCCAGAATTGAATTGAAAATCCCACTTCTAACCTACAAAGCCCTCAACAACCTAGCTCCATCTTATATTACAGATATTATTGTTCCACATTTTCCTAACAGAGCGCTTCATTCTCAGACTGCAGGCTTACTTGTGGTTCCTGGAGTTTCCAAAAGCAGAATGGGAGGAAGATCTTTCAGTTATCAGGCTCCTCTCTTGTGGAACCAACTTCCAGTTTCTGTCCGTGAGGCCGACACATTGTCCAGTTTTAAGACTTTCCTTTTTGATAAATCCTATAGTTAGGATTCTTGGGTTTCCTAAGCTATCCCTTAGTTCTGCTGCTATAGGCTTAGGCTACTAGAGGAACAAACTGACCACATTTCCTCTCTTTGCTGTTGCCTTTACTTGCTCTACTCTACCCGTTTGTATTTGTAATTATTTATATCTTAACATGTTTTTTTTGTCTTTCCTCCTATAGAAAGTAAACCTGGACCTGCCGTTCTGTGTTTGTTTCTACTTCCTGTCCTCTCAAACCTGAGCCGGTCGAAGCAGATGGCCGCTCGTCCTGAGCTGGATTCTGCTGGAGGTTTCTTCCTGTTAAAAAGGGAGTTTTTCCTTTCCACCGTTGCCTTTGTGCTCGCTCAGGATGGGAGACTGTGACAAAGTGAAGCTTCAACACAATCTGCTGCTTCCTTAGATAACTTTTACTAATTGTCTTTTTTATGTATATGAATATTTTTGTTCAGTGCCCTGAGACGACTTCCGTTATGACTTGGTATATATAAACTGAATTGAATCAATTAACTTTTGGAGCCAACATAATTCAAGATGGCCGCTGCAACTAATCAGCCCTACCAAACAAAAATGGCTACTACTCAGTTAATTTTACTGATACTGAGCTAAAATTTAGCATGGTGGTAGCCGAGAGTCCTCCCCAACATAAACTCTGAGCACAAACACAATGAAATCAACAAAAAGTTTTCAGCATCAATTTTTGCTTCAGTCCAGTTTGTGTCCACAACCCAAAGATATTTAGTCGACTTTCATGAGACTGAAGGCCAAAAAAAATAAATAAATAAATCAAATTTAAGAAAACTGAATCATTTTTACTAAATTATTCAAACCAGTTATCACTTATTAAAATAGCTGGGCCTTATTTTATTACTGAGTAACTAACTGGATGATTGTTACCTGTTTATTTCCATCAGATATTCCTGTCTAATGTTATATAAACACCTAATCTGTGATTAAGCAGGCAAAACAAAGTGAAAGGTGACGGGAAGTGCACACGCAGGTTTAAAAGGTCAAAGTTCGTGAGCCAAATTTAACGTTAGCACACCGAGGCTGTTAAGAATGACGCAGGACAATACAAAAATAATATTCCAACATGCCAATTCATTAGATTGAAACTTGTTTTTGTCCAAAAGAAGACAAGAAGAGCAACAAGCAGAGAAAATGTCCCTAATCAGGAAGCCGAGGTGATTAGATTAAAATCAATCCGCCTCATGTCTGTGACCCTCGGCTCAGACTTTGGCCTCTTTCCTTCCAACCTGATCCAGAACGCCGCACTCTGACTGTAGACGCTGCCGTCATGCCCTTATCAGCAAGACTTCCACGCAGCGGTGTCAAACTGGGGCTAAATAAAAAAAAAACATTTCAAACCACGGTCCAGTTACTATGGAGGATGGAAAGTGACAAAATAAATAAATACATAATACATACATAACATCATCATCAACTTTATTTATAAAGCGCTTTAACACAGCCACAGCTGAAACAAAGTGCTGAACATCAGTTAAAAACAAGAAAAGAGCATAAAAACAAAGCTACAAAGCCAAGCACACAGCGAACTAACAATTAAATGTATCAATTAAATACATCATTAAATATACAATTATTAAATACACCATTAAATAATGAAATGTACCTTTTAAATTATTTATTTATTTAATTAATTTCGTCACCTTCCACCCTCCAGTGACACCATGTTGTCAGTCTCACTCGTGGGCGGGACTAACCCTAACCCTGACGCCTGATTGGCTGCTTCTCACAGCAAGTGAAGACAAATCAACCACAGATAATCGATCGAGCCACAGGCCAGAAAATATATTCCGAAACTTTAAGAAGCGGTAATTGTGTTTACGTATATTTGGATGAAACCTTTTTTCATACCGTGAATGTAAAGAAGAAGACGCGCTCTTACGAGAAGCAGCAAATTTAAACAAAGAAGCTCCACAGTCGGACCTACGGCCCGATGCAGCAACGTGGATCGCAAATCCCGGCCTGTGTGCAAGGTTAGACATATTGTATGAACTTGGGGTAATGCTAGGCCTGTCGCAATAAATCAATTAATCGCATGATAAATGAAAATTATCGACCTCATTTTCATTTATCGGCTTTATCTTTTCTACGTCTGTCTCTTTTCTACTGACGACACGGCTCAACTCTGGTGCCCTTCACTGACCCCTCCCTTTCTCTTTAAAATCTGTTTTAACCGTCCAAAATTGCATTTTTGGACCATTAAAAGCAGCTAAGCTGAGAAGCTAAGCTACGAGATAAGCTAACAGGCCAACCTCGGGGAAAAAACCTCCGTCTTGTCAAAGCTCCAAAATTCACGGTTGCAACCCGTGCCTTTGTTTAAGAAGTTGTTTTTCTCTGCAAAAAGAAGCTGAGAACTTGTTTACTGATTTTTTTTGTTAAAAGCTTTGTGTGAAAAATGCTATGCTAAAGAGCTCAAACCACACGTAGCGTCCGCCATTTTGGGAATGGAAAAGCAGGAACAGAGACAGCCCATGTCACATCAAGGGGCCTCCCTCCCATTTTTCTTAAAGAGGCATGCTGCTCACTCCCTCACTATCCATCCTTCAGTTCAAACAGTCTTATACTGCCACCTAGTGGTCAAAAAAGGTACCACACACAACATTTAAAATTTATTCTTAAACTTAACAATAATTACTAATTATTGTTAAATTTCAAACAATTTTGTTTATCGCAATAATTTCTGAGACGATTAATCGCCCAACAATTTAAAAAAAAATCATGACAGGCCTAGGTAATGCTGATGAAACACGTATGGCTTATATAACAATTTAGGATTTCACATGCTCAGCAGTAGTCCCGCCCTAGTCCCGCCCACTGAGTTTGATGAGTGAGACTGACAGTTGACATAATTTCATGGTGACACACGAGGGTGGAATGTGACAAAATTAAATAATTTAATAAATCATGAAATAAATAAGTTAAATGATGTATTTAATAATTTAATTGTTTACTTAATTATTCAATGATGCATTTGATAATTAAATGATTCATTTCATTATTGTGTTTAAATTTATTTCGTTTTGTCACAGTCCGTCCTCCATAAGTTTCTGTCAAAATGTTATCTCCAGTCAGATACCTGTTTTTGGTGGCAGGCTCCTCCAGAGTTTATTGGTCTCATTTGATGTTCTCAGCTGCTTTTACCACATAAAAGTCAAAGATTAGGGTCAAATTCAAACTACATTTCTTGGTTTCAGAGTCGTCCAGTTGTCTTGAGAAGTTTGCGCTATATAAAGTATGCTGAATTTTAAAGTAAAACGAGGTGACAGAAGTATTATACTTCTGAAATATCATTTTAGGGTCCAGATAAGACGTTAACAAGGGCCATATTTTGCCCCTGGGCCTTGATTTTGACGCATGTGCACTGACAGGATGAAATATGAGTTTTTAGAAGAGGTTTTCAATTGAATCTGTCCAGTTTTTTAGGCTGTAAGTTTAAAAAAAGGACTTTAACTTTGAATATTACGTACAGCCTCACGCTGGTGGAAGGGTGGCGATTATCCTCACCTGAGCATTAGTTGCATTTCCTGTAGGCAGGACACGCTCTGAGAGCTGAGAGGAGACCACCTCTCTCTGTCTGGAGGCGATGGAGGCGAGCGCGGACTCAGCTTCAGCTCGTCCACCTGACGCTGCAGCTCCTCCACCTGCGTCTGCAGCAGCTCCACCGTTTCCGTTAACCTGCCCGGAAAGAAAAGGAAATTCCCATAAAGCTGACATCAAGGAATACTTTATATAGACAGACGTCACTCATCCTACCCCTGGATCTTTTGCTGAGCCGTCCTGTTGTCCAGAACCAGCCTCTGGTTGTTCTGCTCCAGCTCGCGGGCGGTGACGTCGAGCTGCTCGTAAACTTTAGCGTGCTGGTCGTTCACCTGCCTGAGGAGGTCCAACTGCTTCGACAGGTGCTGAGGGATGAAGTCAACAGAGCTTTCATGAATTTAGGGATTTACTAGCTACACAAAGGCAAGAAAACAAAAGAATCAACCATTCAATGTACTAGCCAAATGGTTGCTATGGCGATTCCCGCCCTTAGCTCTTCTTGCTCTTCGTGCCTAGCTGAGCTGCTTCGAATAAAAAGCTATAAAAATAATTTCATCAAACATTTTTGAGCATTAGAAACCTATACTAATAGTTACAAGACAATGTTGTAATTTAATGTAAAATTAGCATTAATTTTTGACTTTTTTAGTACAGTAAATAAACTTGTATATATTAAAGCTGAGGTAAAACAGGCAAAAGTTAGTTGCCATTCTTTATGATGTTTATTAAAAATCTTAAAACTTATAATTCTGAGAATTAGCGAGGAAAAAAGTTGTGCAAAACTTTAATTGTCAGGGAAAATAATTGAGCAATTAGCATTTTAAATCTTGTTAAAAATAACATTTTTTTTAGGGATAAAGAATTACAAAGCATTAAAAAGTTCCTGCCAATCATAGATTTATAATAGAGAAATTAATTTTAAAAAATTAAACTGTAAAATAAATCAAAACATGGCATTTATAAATTAAAGCCTCTATGCTGCATTATTTTTAAATAAAAAACTAGCAACCATTAATGAGGCAATTCTGTTGGCACACCTTCGGTCTCTGATGAGTCCGCTTTACATCAGAACAATTTATCTTATCAGCTGTTGCAAACAGAACATCTTGAAACTCTTTGATCTTATACCACGGGGGAAAACAGTTCCAATCTATCTGTTGGCAAAATATCTCGTGAACCACTGGACGGATTTTATTCAAACTTTCAGGAGTTTATCATTAAAGTGAACATCTACAACTGTTTTCCTTTTGGAGTCAACCTATTTCAAAATGGCTGCCACAGCTTACCGAACTCAGATAACGCAAATATGGCCATAGCTCAGGTAATTTTTCACATATTGAGCTCAAATTTGATGTGGTAGTAGCTGAGGCTCGTCCGTTTTGGTAACGTATCACTAAATGATTGTTTCATGAAGGAAGCAGGGGTTGTTTGGGCTGCAGATCCTCCTGGTTGGATGGAAGCATCACCTCGATCTCCTGCAGCTGCTCCTGGTTGGTGGCGTACATCTGCTGCAGGCCCTGCTCCAGCTCCCGGTTCCTCTCCAGAAGAGACTTCCCGAGTTCTGCAGCCAGCTGCAGATCTGTAGGACCAAAGGTGAGCGGACAACATGTCCAGAGAACAAAAACAAGTGTGAGCACGGGAGTGGTGAGGTTCACAACAAACATATATTAAGCATATATTCAATATAATAATACTCTAATGTCTGAGTGTTAGAATTATATGAAAAGATAAAAACCTCAAACAAAATAAACATATTAACATGAATGTTGGTGTAAAAATGCAAAATGTCAATTTCCAAGCCTAAACTAAAGCAAATAAACAAATATTTAAATAAAAACAACAATCACCACAATAGGATAAAAGAGAGACCTCTACAAGCAGTTTTGTGTGTTGTTAACCTTTAAAAACGGATTTAAATTGTTTTGTCTAAATTAATTTCTTAAAGAGCCACACAGCTTTGTCTCATGAAGCCTCTTTAAAGACAAAATGCATGTAATAGAATGTTTCACACATAACTACAAGGTAAACGCAGAAAATATAGACAAAAATTTGAGCTTTTATTTATTTATTTAATGCTTTGCCGCATATGGGAGTCCTGCTGACTCGTGCTTTTTTTTTTTTTTTTTTTGTTGCACTCAGTTCCAGTTTTATTCAAGAAAATCCCCCAAAAACGACCTTCTTCCACACTAAATGCAAATATAAAAAAAACATGTTATTTTTAAAAAACAACAAATTCCTACCACCAAAGGTCACACATTTAATTATCATAAAACATGATGAAATCAAACAGCTTAATAATAAGTATTTTTCCTATTTGCTTGCAGTTTGACAGCAGAATTAAAAGAAAAATGTTTTTTGTCTAATTGAAGGACATTTTATTTTACCATGCTCCAGGTCCTGCTTGTCGTACCACGGTTCCTCCTCTTTCATCTCAAACTCCTCCTCAACAATCATGTCCGCCAGCATCTTCCGCTCCAACACAAATAAATCCTCTCAGATTAAAAATAAAAACGTTTTCTGTTCGGTCAAAACGCGACAGGAAGAGCAGCCGGCTCCGGTGAGCGCAGCTCCGCGAGACACCGACTCCCTGATTGTGCTCAAAGATGACTTCCGCTCTGGAATTTCAAAATAAAAGTTGAAGCCGGCTTGAACGGAAGGGGAGGGAATTAATTTGTGATTAAATATAAACAATCAACATGAGCTGATGGCTGCTTAGACTAAATCTAAATTGTGCAGAGGCGTTACCAAGGGGGTCTCAGGGGGGGCAATGGCCCCATAAAGTTCGCTCACATCACAAGGTTACCGGTATCTAAGTTCTAGAATTGCGCCGCTCAAGGTGGCTGCATGTTGGAGCAGCTCTGTTACTTTCATCCTGAGATTTTGCTTTTGGAAACTTTAATTCCTCTTTTTCTGGATGTAAATCACATTTTTTGGATGATTGTTTCCTCTGGTATCAGATGCTGTGCAGCTGGAAGGATTTTTACTGAACCCTTTTTTAGTTTTGGATATTTGTTATGATACGTAACCATGGCAACAAGGCAGTTTTCTACAACCAACAGCAGCTGATTAACATCTCAAAAGCTCAAATAATATCTTAACTACAGCCCCATATCTCAAAAGAGTTGAAAAGGATGTTCTGTGGATGCATTCCCATCTACCTGCCAGCTGTGCTCGAGTGCCTGACCACTGAGATCCTGGAACTAGCAGGAAACATGGTTCATGACAGCGGAAGGACAGGATCATCCCTCAACACCTACAGTTGGCTGTCCGCAGCGAAGAGGAGCTCGGCAGACTGCTGGGAGGAGTGGCCATCGCTCTGGGAGGAGTTCTGTCCGCCATTCGGGCGGTCCTACAGCCGGGGGGAACCGAGAGGCCAGCCGAGTCTGGGAGGACAGATCGGACGGCATCTGCAGCCAGTTTCTTAGGATCCACTGTGGGATGGACCTTAGCAGGAGATCCTTCCTGCCTACAGCCATCAGTATCTATAACATCTCTTAATGAAATGAGGATAACGAGTTACAACAACAAATAATTCCACTTTGGGATTAATAAAGTATTTTTGAATTTGAATTTGAATAGTCCCAAACTTCCACATTGCAGTATTTGTAAATAACAGCCTGTAAATGATAACATCACAATAAAACCCTTGAAATTTCGTGGTTTGGTGTCAGAACCCAAAATCAAAAGTATCCACCACCAGAAAGGGTCACCCCTTTAAAAATGGCCTAGAGACATCCCTAAAAATATGAGATTTTCCACTCTTGTCCAAGCGCTAGCTGGAAATATCAAACTTCACAACTAGACAGCTCATGGCTCAAGGATGATACTTATTGATTTCAAGGTCACTGGGTGAAGGTCGCAGGTGACTCCTTTGTTTAAACCAGCACTACGGCTCAGTGGTTAGCAATGTTGCCTCAAAACAAGAAGGTCCTGGGTTCAATCCCCGGTTGGACCTGGGGTCTTTCTGTGTGGAGTTGGCATGTTCTTCCCGTGCTTGTGTGGGTTTTCTCCGGATACTCCAATTTCCTCAAAAACATGCATGTTAGGCTGCCTTCAGGCCTCCCCTGCAAAATGGGGTTTGCCTGGTTAAATAAAGGTTAACAATAAATAAAATTGTCTATGCTCCAGCTTGACATTCCAGCAACTTAGAAATGTCAAACCCTTCGTAATCTAGATTGGTCCTTTTTGACAGTCCACAGTATACTGTCCATGTCCACTCAAATGTTCAGGATAGAAAATGTCCTCAGACTATGGCTCCATGTTGGATCATATTTATTTTATTAAAACCTCTCCCATCAAAGAACCGTGAGCGGTTCTGGTGAGGTCTACAGTTTTGATTATGAAATGATAGTTATCGACAGGCAGCTGCAGTTTTCATGTTCTTACGTGTGTTTTTTTTTTACTGAACTGTTTGTCCATTTACTTTGACACTCGTCAAGAATGACCTTTAACCCCACAGTCGTCTTGTATAAACTTAGCAGACACATTTTTGCGTGAGATAGTCATGATTTGGATTTTGATTTCTCTAAAACTTTACTGATGGACGTATTGTGTATGAACTTGTTTCTTTTAACCTGGCTGTGGTTGTATAGACACAATAAAAACATGTTTTGTAGCTTTTAATTTTCAATTAAAAAACATGCACCGTGCCTACACTTGGACTTTATATTATTTATTGATTTATTTTTGCAGGTCTTATGTTTGAATCAAGTTATTTAAATAAAAAATTTAAATGCTGCTGGTTTTATTGTGTTTTTACTTTGAAGTTCTGACCCTTAATTTCCGGCGCCGACCTGCCTCCCTGACATTTTACATCATTACACCTGGTTCGTGTCCCCATCACCACACGAGGGCGCTGCAGCCCCCTTCCCCCCAAAATAACCCTGCTCCCACAGAAATCAGACCATTTGAACAGCAGTTAAAAGTAAATGTTTATGGTCAAATAAAAAGTGTTAAATATGCTGAGTCATAAAAACAAGTACAAATTTGATTTCATGTTCATTTTCAGCACAAAACAGAGACGTAACGTGCAGAAACGGGAGTATCTCTTGAGTTTATGTTGGCACAAACTATTTTCAGTTTCTTGACACAAAGTTGGTTGAAAAACTGCAAAATCATGTTTATAATCTGTTTTATAGCTACACAACGTGCGCTATACATTTGTAAAAACTATGGAAACAATTTTAACAACTTATTTGCCACTGCAGGCAAATTAATTTATGCTATTTATCGTCATCGTTCATTTTAATTCTCAAACTAATTTAGTAAAGTAGGTTTAAATGCACAAATATAGCATTAGTTCATTACAAGCACATGCTACTTTTTTATTCTTTTAAATCAGACAGAGCTCTTATTTACTAGCAGCATTAAATGTGCAACTTTTTTCTATAATCTTTCAAAAACACAGGTTTATTTTTTTTTAAATTACAAACAAAAATTTTGCAAAAAAGTTTGCAAGTTGGATGGATGGATGGATGAAGGTTGCAGCCCATTGAGAAGAGCTGCAAGTAATAATAATTTAAATTTGTATTTATTTGGATCTCCTTTATTCTAAGTTTCTGCCAACAGTTGGTGGTGCTGTGGTTTTATTTTCTGCTCAGGGACACAAAACCAATCCTAAACACTTTATACAGTTCAGACAAAGAAGACACCCTGAAAACACAAAGATAGTAAATAAATTATTCAATTGAACAGATTAAAAGACATTCATAAGAATATTGTAGCGATCAAATTTTATGATTCGTACAAGCGACTCCTGAGATCTGCAGCCAGATGACGATCCCATTTTTTCTGCAAATAAAATATTTTTATTCGCTTCACATCTATTATTCCTCATGGATGCATCCCAATGTACAAAACATTATTTATTCCCCGTTGTGCATTAGAAGCAGACATGTTTTATTATTATTATTATTACTACATGTGCAGAAAGCAGCTTCTTGGTTTCTGCACCCATGAGGATTTGTTGTTAGTCCCTCCAACAGTATTTTATGGATTTAATCTCGATGCACCTGCAGTGACTCATAACTTGGCTGGAGCTCCAGGTCTCCAGCCTCCACCTCCTCTAAGAGCAAAGTTATTTTTATTAAAGTGCTGACTTTCATGGCTCTGATTTCTCATCCAGAGCTAAAAGTTTCTGTCTATTCTTGGTACAGAAGTCTGCAGGAACAAACGCAGTTTTTGCTCCCGGATACAAATCCAAGCTCACACCAGGCTCGTCTGATCTTTTGTTTTTAATCCAAAATAATATCTATATATATATATATATATATATATATATATATATATATACCGCACATACCCTCATTTCAGAGTTTCATATCAGTGTCTCTAGTAAACAACTGGAAGAAACTCCATCAAACTGCACCATTTAAAATGGTTCAGAAGGACCTTTTATACATTTGATTTCATACTTGTCACAGTTTGTTAAAAAAGTCAGACCAAGGAACACACAAAGCTCGAGAAGCAAAAAGATTTATTACCACAAAATGAAACAAAAAGCTGACATAGCAGCTAGAGAGAACTAAAATACTGGCTGGAGCTGTAGCAGAAACCCAGACAGGGACAACACCAGGCTGTGGGACAGTGAAATTTATTTCAAGGACTAGTTGGTTCAAATTAGATAAAAGGTGAAAGAAAACAGTTGTGACATAAAATACAAATTCATTGTTATAAAAGGTTACTAAAAACAAGAATAAAATTTATGTTAAAGAATGATCAAAGGACAAGTGTTAAAGGCAGAGTCCCTCTAAAAAAGGTTTAAAACAGTTTTCTAGTTCAAATAACTTTTACTGTAAGGTATTTCCTTCAAGTTATTTATCTGTGATTGACTTGCTGAGCTGTTCTGATAAACCTCTGTGATCGATTAGTCACATCTGCTGAGAAGAAGGAGGAGCTCTTGACAACAAAAAAGGTTGAATCATGTCATCTGGACTTCGTTTTTTTGTTAAAAAGAAACGTTTCGCCCCTCATCCAAGAGGCTTCGT